CTACAAAACTTGTGTGATATTAAACGACGTGTAGAATTTTGTGTTTATTCTTGCCAAAATGATCTTAGAGATCACGGGATTATAAATTATTAAAAGATAATGCTTTTGTTTTTTTCTACCTTGGTGCCCTCAGCACCCAGCATGACCCAACACTTGGCAGATAATTAATAGTGAGGGAATGAAAAGTGTGCTAGGTTTTTAAATACATTTATGTACGTTTAAGGACCTCTTCACAGCTGCTTGGTGATCTTATCTCTTTGACCTTTGTTACCTATTTTGCCTCAAATTGTTTTGCTTATCCTCTTTTGCCTTTGTGTTTGTGTGTATGTATGTTTAAATCTACCAGGTAAGGTTTATGTTAGAATGGAACCCAGGAAACCATTTGTATTCTAATGTCAAATAGTCATCTAGTGAATTCTTGAACCCTAACTAGCAGAGGTTAAAGGATGGAAAAATGTTCAACTTTCTAAGTTACGCTGACCAAGCCACACATCGGAGTTGGAGCAGCCGTCCAACATAAACAGGATAGGAAGGGAGTAGCACAGAAGCTCTCAGCCCCTCGTCCAGGGTCTGGCCCGTGATGGGGGTGTTAACATGTCAAGTACACACACCTTGAAATAGTTTGATTGTACTGTGGCCAGATGACAGTGCAAGTATGTACTAGAGAGCGATAATGTCCTCCTGGACCTTCCAAATGTCTCGTTTGCTCCATAATGTTTTAAAGTAAGATGTTAATCAAATGAGAACACAGGAGAAATGAGGAAGGAGATGATAGGGCTCCCAAATTAAGTAGCTGGGTTGGACAAACTTTTCTACTGTAGTTCTATCCCATGGGAATCTTATTTAATTCTTTCATACTCATTTTGTTTTTAAGATAAGTGATGTCAGTCTTAAAAGTCTTGTAAAATGGGAAAACTGGGATTGGTGGGCTTTGAAAATAGAAGTCCTATGTTATATCAAGGTTCAAAGTTAAGCCAAACAAACGTGGTTACTCTAAATGCGGGAGCTCTTTCTCTTCCTCCTTCTTGATCTCCTCTTGCTTCATTCATTCAAAAATGGTTTTGGGTATTACTTTTGCGAAAGGGCAGTGAAAAAAACAGTCAAGGTCCCTACTCTCAAAAAGCTTACAGTAGTGGGGAAAAAAACAATACACAAACTGACAAGCAGATAAATAAGACACTATGAGAAACAATTACATGCTATGTGGTGATTAAAGGGGTAGATTTATTGGGGAATGGCTGGGTGGCCGCTTCAGATTGGGTGGTCAGGGAAGGGGGAGACATTAAATTGAGAGTAGAAAGCAAGAATGAGGCAGCCATTAGTAGCAGAACATTCCAGGGAGTAAACATTCTAGGCCAGGGAACAACTTGTGCTTAAATTTGTGTCTAGGAGTGTGGAGGAAATCATAAAGAACTTCCAAATTTAGCAAGCCTGGCACAGCTAAGTCACTGATAAAGAGAGGACAGAGGCTGCTATTTCCTTTTCTTCTGTCTCTTAAACACAACATCTCTCACCCCCACATGTGTAGGGTGAGAACACTTCTCTGATTTTACACAGAGAATTAGTATTGGCCTTATTACTGTTTATTTTTACGAAGAGGTAGTTTTACATTGTCACTCTAGAACCAGACTAGGGTGTCACATAAAATCCCTAATACCTTAATATGAATGAGTTTATAGGATTTAAGAAAATCAGGGATTTTTTTTCCTATTCATACACTAAGCCTTAAATTAAAAAAATGTTTTCCTTTGAACATTCATTCATCATTTGTAGAGAGTGGGAGGCAACCAGACTTACCTGGTATACTCTAAACAAGGAAAACAATATAACAAATAGTTCCTAAGTTAGGTTTATGTTTGTTCCTTTCTCTTTTTCTCTGATAAGAAATCTGATTTAAGTACCTGTTGCTTCTTTTCTCTGTATTGTAATAGAAGATTAAGCATCAGTTACATAAATAAATCCGATTTATGACTTTTTCCTGTGCGGTGTCTAAGTGCCCTTCTGGTCCCACAGCAAGGGGGAAGGCATTCCCCAAGTCCAATATGCATGGCACTGACACCAAATGGCCCACACATAATCATGTGGAATTTACACTTGAGGGACAGAGTCGGGGACAAAGACACTTGGAGATACAGAAATATAATAGATGCTTCCAGGCACGGAGCCCAGAACTCACCCTCAGGACAGGTATGATAGACCTAACCAGAGCCTGGAGGGTTACGAGGCGATTGGTGCGGATTTCTGTTGGATAACAAATTAGGGCCGTACCTTGTTAGAGAAAAGAATTCATGATATTTCTATCTTTTCATTTTAGTCTGATTTTTTTCTTCCCAAGATCAGTACTGGAGTGATTTGAGAGAGAACAAATATTAAAAGAGATTTTCTTTCTGAAAATGACCTTTTTTCAGGAATCTGACAAATTAACCACCATTTGCAGGTTAATTTATTGTGAGAATAAATATTTTAATTCCTATTATTAGCCCCTCCTGTTTCCTATTTGTTCAATTATAGGTGACTCAGATGAATGAAATGCCATAAACTCCCAAGACATAAACCTCTTCTTTTATGAAGGGGAATGAAATCATAGGCTGATAAGAAAACAGTAGAGCAATCTATACTTTTTCACTGCAAACCATAAGAGGTAAAATCTCATTTCCCTCCAACATATAAAAAGAAGTAAAAGGGCTTGTGAAAGAATTTTACTTGGCAGTTAACTATAGTCATTAATTAGTAATAACTTAGATGCCACGCTAAATTATTGGCAGATGTTATTCAACAACATTCCGCTATCAATGAATACAACTTTTAAAACAATGAGCAAACCTTTTCAGAAAAGACTGCAATAAGAGAGAAAGGAGAGGAAGACCTCACACTGAAGCAATAAAGTTGGTTCCCTCAAGAGGGTGCCTTGGAAGAGGAGGAGGAGCGAGAGTCAACTTTTTCTTTCATTACTTCTGAATTGTTTAAATTATCACATCAACATGCATTTACTCTGTAATTAAAACAAAAGCCCCTAAAGTATAATTCGTAAGAAAACTTAAAAATTAATATGTATTTTAAAGTGCCATCACATATGATTTTCCACCTAGTAAATGGCAAGTATATAATATGAAAATTGCTAAGTGGTGCTTCTAAGGATATACTTAAAACACCTAAAGATTTTAAAAAGCAAACAGTAGAAAAACCTGGTACAAGTAAATGCCATTTCTAAGCTACCGGGTTTTGCGATTAGGTGCTCTGCCTTTCCCTAAATTTCCTCACAAAGGGAAGCATAAGTGGCCCCTTCTATGGGCCTTAAACACTAAAATACGCTTTTCCTGTATCTTATTTTTTACCGAAAATCTGACTAATAAGCAAATCATGATGTCACTCTTCAAACTTGTGCTTAAGCTACACATCCTTTTAATAATCACAAAACTGTTTTGTCTATGTTCTGTAGACATGCCCCCCCCCCATTATGACATGCCCACCAACACCACCATAGAGCGCAGCTGACAGCTGAAGAGCTGCTGAAACCCCTGAGATAAGAAGGGCTGAAATGCCCGTTCCCCGTTCCTCAGTTGCTCTCCTGTGATTTATAGCTAATTGATGACAGCCATTACGGTGGATACGGGTCACTTAATCGAGAGCACAGACAACTCCTAGTCATTAAACAACATTCACTCTTCCTTCCCCAGGAGAGCAGGCCCCTGGTTTCATTAAAAGCCCTGCAAATACATATTCAAACTGCAAAGATAAAAGGGGTCAGCAGTGGCAATTAATTTTATGCGGTGAGGCTACGAGAGCGTAAATCTCTTTTAAAGCTGCCACTTTCGACCGCATTTTACCTGTTTAATGTCTCAGTGGAGTTAGAGCACAGGTAGTCACTGTTCACCTGCCGTCTTTCACACCATTGTACATAAACCTCGCAGCTCTGCTGCCTGAAACCCAGCCTGGGCGGCATTCAGAATTAAGTGCAGGGTAGGCATAGATACTCTACATTTTACATATTCTAACACGTCTAACAAATGAGCTGATGACAGAGAAAAGAGAGTAGACCGTTAGGTACAAGAGAAACAAAGAATAACTCCTATCCTATAGTCATCTTTCCTGCCCCAAATCAAAAACACCAGACATCATGGGAAAATCTAAGGGGCTTTCCTAGAGCCTGGCACATTCATCCTCAAGGAAATGTGACCTCAAAGAGTATGTATACATTTTATACGACTCTGACATTTCCACTGACCTCTATCAGGGCAGTAATTCAAGGTCTGTTATGCTATGATAGAACCTTTTGAGTTAATTGATTTCTGCCTCTCTCTGACACTGTAATGGCTCCATTCATAACAACTGTCTGCTGTGGAGTGCCAATGGAAATAGCTCAGGCAAGGTTTATCATCCTAAGAAAATAGTGGAAATCAAATATGAAGCCGGTATTCATGGAAATATGCAGTTCCATGGAATTCCGAAGTCAAGGGGGTCGTGCTGTGAAAGGCACGCTCCTTCCTGACAAGGCTGGCCATCTCTGGTTTCAGTCCACCACCGCCCCCCGCCCCCCGCTCCAGGTTCTGTACAATGAATTTCCATCCCCAGCTTTTAGTCTTCCCATACTTATCCATATCAGATTTCATACTGTTTCTTCAATTTAAAACATTTGGAAATGCTTTTAATTGAGAGCTCAAAGCAGGTCCCTTTGCCCATCACCTCTGGGAAGTGGTTACATCCTTGCAGTACACTGGCAGGCCACACCAAGCACAGCTATTTTCACAGCTGAAACCAGTTACAGCTTTTAGCAAAGGGCAGATGTAACCAAGCTTCTCATTTACCTTCTTTATTTTTAGGTGCCTTTTATATTTTTCAAAGACCCCACTTGGTGGCAAAGTCACATCAGCCAGGGACAACTTGCCTGCAGAAGTGGTAACACAGCACACAGCTGAGTCCCGGCACCAAGTTTTCACTGACCAGAAAGGCAGTTTAGCAGGGATATGGAAAGTATTATAAAACCATGCAGAAATACTCACAGTTTTGGTTTGGCAAGCAGAGGTGGTGGCTCCTTCGTGGGGGAAAGCAGGACAGCTGGTGTTGGAAGAGATTTATTACCATTAGCTTTGCCGTTAATCATTCCGTTCACTCCATGGCTGGGATGGACTCCGTTGGTCTCCCTCTCAGCAGAATTGAATTGCATTTGAAGGGCTGCCATGCCAACTCCTAACTCTGGGCTGTTCACCTGCTGGATCTCGGCTGATTTCTTTGAGGCCAACTCAAAGGGACTTGTCTCCAAGATCGGAGGGGGAGGTGGGAAGTGCTGGAAGTGATCATTGTTGGATTCACCCATGGAGTCATAGCTACAGTTCTCAGCATTGGCTAAGGAAGGGGAAAGAGAGGGGGAAGAATCATACGATGCTACTAATTTGCTAATTCAACAGTTATTTTCACACTATTATGGACTGAGGATCCCTTGAACCCTATGATTACAGAAGAGGTAGCTGTGCTGCTTGCAGCTGATGCAGAAGCAGAGCCTGCTGGAGGGCTTGGTTCTTTCAAGCTTGTTTTGGGTGACTACTATGTGTTTCATTTCCTGAATGGGCCCACAAGCAGGAAAACCAGCTACCAATTCATTAACAAATTTCAAACAAGAGCTAAAGACGGAGCTTAGTTAAAACAGGACAACACAAACCGCATCAACTAATAACGCCTTGTCCTCTTACATTTCAGCTGTGGATTCGACTGAACACCCTACCTGAAATTTGCTGACATTAGCTCAAGCTCTCACAGTTTTGTGGGACAAGCAATGAATATTCACTCTATTTGAAGCTAAGGAAAGCTTTGAGTCTATGGGAAATGTCTTATGATCTCATAATTTCTTTTCCAATTCGGATGATTGCCACAGCTGTAACTCAGCACAAATTTATTTTTTTTTAACTTGTTACTCCCAATAAACTGAATGCCTCTGGCGGTAAGATCATACCGTCTTTGGATTTCTCACTTTGCTGAGAGACCAGCACTCCTTCTGGAATTCACTCAAAAGTGCTTACTGACGTGAACAGATCGCTCAAAAATATTTGTTTATTATGTTTGGCCCCTAGTAGATTTACCCCAGATAAAAATGGGAAATACTGAATGCCAATTTTGCCACACAGTCTTTGAGAACCCGGGGTTCTGGCCATCCTGTGGGAGCACTGTGCTACTGCTCTGGCCATTTGCTGGGACAGCTTTCAAGCCAACTCAGACTCGGAATCCTGGGACCCTCCCCACTCTGCAGCTCCAATAATGACACATTTAAAGAGCACTCATTCAATCACTCCTATCCTAGTAAGGTGACACTTTACCTTTCTTCCCTCCTTCCTTCACCCTATCTATCTATCTATCTATCTCTCTATCTCTCTATCTCTCTATCATCATCTATCTATCTATGTAAGCTTTCAATTCCCTCTCAGCTGCCTTTATTTTAAAGATGATGCTCAGCTGTAATGCACAGGACTAGGTGCCCAAACTCATGTCAGATGAGGAATTTTAGGCACTTTAGGACGGTAATCTTGGGGCACATCAGCTCTGCCTGAGCATCCACATTTCTACCCTTAGGATGAAGCCACAAAAACAATTCCCACGCTACGGCTGGTCCCTAAGGCTTTCTTGGTTGTGCCTCTGCTGCCCCCTAGCACCAGTTCCTCCTCTTCCAAAGAAACCAAAGTGCAATCGGATTGTTCTCTGCAAGTCTCTCTCATCCAGCCAAACCCCCCATTTATTGATTCCCTATTATATGCACAATGGGTCAGGCCTGGTCAAAGAGATATTTTAAAAATTGCTGTTAAATAAGTAATAGAGACAAGGCAATAAAAGCCAGCCACGGCATAGCAAATCGGTAACAACAGAAAAGAGCAAACTGAAGTTAAATGGAAGAATAAAGCTGTTTCATGCTGCCGTCACTAGTGGTAAATTTCTGACTTTAAAAAATATCCAGATATTTTTTGAATATTGGTTTTAATAGTATATTGCTTTAGGTTTTCCTATCACAGTTGTATTTCTCCGTCAGTAAGACTGGACATCTAAGATCTTTACAGTTTCTCCGAATCCCATCAGGCTTATCTTGTACTCCTTCTTCAGAAGTTCCGATCGTGGATTAAACACTGATTTATATGTACAAGTATCTCCTCTCCTGTGTCTGCACTGCTCAGAATAGTGACAGCCCCTCCTTTCCCAGGTGGCCTTCAGATGGGAGCATGACCCTGGGTTAGCATGAGGATGTCAGGAAGCCATCTCCAGCATTTCTAAGACCAGACTGCATGATTTAAGAAAGAGCCCCACATGTGTTCAGTTGCTACATTATCTTTTCATTTGCTCGTCTCACGTTCACTCCCCCTCCCGCAAAGCCTTTTGTTGGCCGATGAAGCACTGACTGGGGATAGCGGGGCGGGGGGTGGGGGCGGGGGGTGGTGCCCGGTGTGTCAACCCAGGCCATGGTGGCAGCACTGCCGATGCTGAGCCCTCCCCCTGGAGCAGGCAATTCCATCGCTGTGGCGAACCACACTGAGGGCTGGGGAGCAGAGCCCCGTCAGTTTTTTTTCCTCCTCACATACCTGGGGTGACAACTAGCTGGGCAGTACTGGTTACTGATCCGTAATCATTTCTTGCGGAGCACGTAAAGATCCCTGCGTCTTCAGGGAAAGTCTCAGCGATGACTAGGGTACAGATCTCCTCTGGGAGGAAAAAGACGGAATGTATCTCATCAGCATGAAACCATGAAGTCACTTTGAAGGAGGCAGAATCTCTGCCTTTCTTAAACAAGCAAATTAGATAATGAACATGGAACAATCAGTTTACCAAAGAGTTCACAATAGAATGCCTTTACATTTAATTTAGCCATTTAGCCTAGTGGCAAAAGTTTTGGAGTCAGACACATTCTTTGTGATTTCAGACAAGATCCGCTCTGGTTTCCTCATCTATAAAATGGGGATATTTACCTAATGGGGTATCTGTTAAGATGAAACCAGATGTTTGCGAAGTGTGTGCCGCTGCACTTCACATGTGGAAGATGCTCAGGAGATGCTGGCTCCGTTCTCCTCCTGCCTACTTATTTATGCGCAGAAATTCTTTGTAGTACAGTGTAGCTGGCTCTTACCTCTGCCCAACCGAAATTAGCAATTACTGGGGGAAATCAAACTTCATTGGAACGACAATGGGGAAAACATATGTAAATGTTCTCATGGCAGACAATTATTCTGGAAGCTACTGTTATACACAGTGGCGGTGTTATACAGCATGAAAAACCCAGACTCTGGAGCCCAGTTGCCAGTGCTTGAGTAAGGGCCCTGCCACACATCTGGCCTTTAGGACTTTGGCCAACCTCTGCAAACATCAGGGTTCTCATCTGTAAAATGGAGACAGTAATAGAACCCACCTTGTAGGGTTTGTATTAGTCATGGCTCATACAATGAACCATCACTGGGTTCCTGTGAGGGACGATGATGACGGCTGTGACAATAGGTAATAGCTATGTCACCCTCACTGGGCACTAAGTACTGTTACTGGCTCTAAATATAGATTAATTTGGCTTTAAATCTCATGTCAACCTTACAAGTTATGTTTATTATTAGCCCATTTTATAGTTTAGAAACAAGCACAAAAAGGCTAGTGGATTTGCCCAACATTGCGTACGTATTATGTGGTGAAATCAGAATTCAAACCAAGTGAGGCTCCAGACTCTATACTCCTAACAACCATGTACCCATCCTTGTGATATAATATGCATTGTGCTTACAACACTGCCAGGACATAGGAAGTGCTTTGTGGCCAGTAAATGTGAGCTGTTACCATTAAAAAGAAGCTAGATCTAGAGTTTATTAACTATTAGAAATTTTTAATATGTTTATTGACTTTAGAGGGAGAGGAAGTGGTGGGGGAGAGAGAGAGAAAGAGAAAGAGAAAATGTTGATGTGAGAGAGAATCATTGATTGGTTGCCTCCCACACTGGGGATTGGACCCACAACCTAGGTGTGCCCTGACTGGGAATTGAACCCCCCACATTTTGGTATATGGGACGATACTCCAACCAACTGAGCCACATCGACTAGGGTGTCATTATCTATTTTTAAGTTGAATAATTGTCTGTATTGTACCAATAAAATGAAAAGGATTATGTTGGTAATGTCCTCATTTAACATCATCTCTATATTCTTGAAAACAGACTTTTAGGGAAAAACACATAACAAAACTGATTTTACCATAGACAATTGGCAAAAATAAGAGTCACGTTCCTATGGCATATTTCTAGTCACAAAAACATCGCCAAGCTCCTAAATAAAGATCTAAAACAATTCTAATGTTAAACACTGAAATAAATGTGGGCTATACATACATTTAAGAAAGCAGAATAAAAACAAGGAAGATCATTATCTTCCAATCCACTAAAGTTTGGGTCATGGATGGCCAAAGCCTCTCTCAGCAACTCAGGGAACCAGACAGGAAGCCACTCTGGCCAGGATGCCCTTCCGTCATAGGGTCTCTCACACACACACACACACGTGCCCACTCATTCAGACTGGGACAACGGAGACACGCCAGGCCACGTGCACACCTTTGGGATGTGGGAGAAAGTCAGAGATCCTGGAAAAAACCCACAAAGCAATAAACTTATTATATGAAGTGTACTCTACTATCTTGTATTGTACTTCATTTTTTAAAAAAAAATAATGGTCATTACCATCCACTTTCATGGCTCACGATCAGCAGTTTAAAAACTGCCCTGTAGGACTTGGTACAGCCCCTAGCTCAATAAATAGCAATGAATCCAGGTATTTGGTGTATTAAGAAAAGGGTTTCCCCCGCAAAAAAAAAAAAAAAAAAAAAATGAAAACACTAATTCCTAAAGATATTTGCATCCCTATAATTCATTGCAGCACTATTTACAACAGCTAAGACATTGAACAACTTAAGTGTCCACTGGCATATCAGAGGATAAAGAAGATGTGCTACATAGATACAATGGGATATGACTCAGCCATGAAAAAAGATGAAATACTACCATTTGCAGTAACGTGGATCTTGAGGGTATTATGCTAATGAAATAAGTCAGACAGAAAAGAACAAAAAAATATGACTTCAGTTATGTGAAATATAAAACAAAAAAAGTAACATGAACTAAGAAAACAAATGAGAAGAGACTCAGATACAGAACACAGAATGGTGGTTACTAGAGAGGAACAAGGGTGGGGCGCATATTGGGTAAAGAGGGTCCCACGTATGGCAACAAAAGGAATCTGGACTTGGGGTGTTGGGCATGCACGAGAGTGTGCAGATACTGAATTAAAATATTGTGCCCCTGAAGTTTATATAATATTATTAACCAATGTTACCTGAATAAATTTGATTTAAAAAAAAAGAAAGACAAGGGTTTTCAGGTAAAGGTTTGCCAGGTACTAGTGCATTTAAATCACACAATTATTATTTAATTAAAAGGTCACTAAACAAAAGGAGAACAATAGAACAACAGGGCATGGGGTAATCTGTGGGGTTTTTTCTTTTTATTGAATTTATTGGGGTCATACTGGTTAACAAAATATACAAGTTTCAGGTGCAGAATCCTACACCATCATCATCTGTATATTCTATTGTATGGTCACCACCCCGATCAAGTCTCTGTCCATCACCATTTGTCCCCCCGATACCCTCCTTCCACCTTCTCTAGCCCCCCACGTTCACCACGCTGTTGTCAGTGTCCATGTTTCTCTTTTCGCTCAATCTTTTCTTTTTTCACTGTACTGTAAGCAGTTCTTGGCTTGCCATTTGAAGAAGACAGAAAAGTATGGAAATAATTCAAGTTGGAGCTTCACATAAGATTAATCATTTGGAAAACGAGATGTATCTGGAAAGTTACAAGGGAGTGGGAATTTTTAAATTGAATACATAAGGTTACAGAACGAGTTAAAAGTGTACTTAGCCAGAAAAAGAATAAATAAAACTTAGGCTATCTGTGCTGTACGGGATTTTAGTGATCAACTAGCCCAAATCCCTCATTTCTTCAGGTGAGGTCCAAAGCAATTCTCCCAGGGTCTTGGCTAACTTATGTCAAAGCCAATGCGCTGAAGTGGGCATCCTGCCTCCCACAAGCACAGTCTTTCTTCCCTAGTTTAGAACATAAGGGACCCAATGTAAGAAGAGGGAAGGAAAGATTTAAGGTGGGAAACAAGGAGCCTCTTGAATCTGAAAACCTTAAATTATGCTCACTACCCAAAAAATTCAATAGAAATTCATCTGCACAGAGATAATGGACTCTGTGTCCTCCAAGAAACAAGACACATTGGAATGGGATATAAGCCATTAAAAAGAACATTGGAACATGGAAATGCTGATATTAGAAAAAATGAGCAGCATAATCTTATTAGACTTTGGGGAAAGACACCCCACATACTGTCTGGCCTCTGAAATATGGGCTTTGGACAGAGGAAGGCCACCTTTGTTTCCTCTTAGCAGATGCTTCTGGGAGCCAGGAAGTCCCCGGCTTTCAGCAGCACCTCCGAGCTTCCTGCCCAGGCAGCCTCGGCTGCCAGCCCCATACCATCCACCAGGACATGGTGCCCTTGGATAGGTCTTCTCTCAGCTATTCACACCTCGAGGGGCAGAGTCTCTGGAGACACTTAGCAAAATGCCTATGGCCAGCTGAATGCCTGAGAATGCTTCACCTGTAAAGACAGACATAATTCCATGTCTTGAAATCTACATTTAAAAACAGGATAAAATCTCCAGGGATGATATAAAGTGGTTTTGGAGTGATGATATGGATAACTTTTAGATTCCTTCTAATGTTTTTCTATGGTTTTGCAATTTTTTAAAAAGTTATACTGTTTTAAGAAAACCTGAGAGTGTGTGTGTGTGTGTGTGTGTGTGTGTGTGTGTGTATGTGTTTCCCCTTCTAACCCAGAGGACTCCATTGAGAATAAAATTTTAGCACCCTCCCCATTCATCCATGACTATGAAGATAAATTAAAAACCTTAATGGGGCCATAAAGCCCTAAATGACCAGGCCCCGGTTTCTTGCTGGGTTCCTTCTGTGCCTCTCACCTTCTTTTGTCCTGAGCTCTGGACTCAGGCTCTTGCCTACCAACCCTTCCCCAGCCCAAACAGAAGCCACATTCCTTGGAGTCTTTAAGCACCCCTCCCAAAGTACTTAGCATTCTCCTACTCAGCCTTACATTTCCACTTAAACATCACTTTCTCAGAGAATCCTTTTTTGGTTAGACTTGGTCAGATCTGCCAAGGATGGCAAACTTTCCCTGGAGATATCTACCACAACTATAAGTAAAAAATTTGTTGTGCAAAAACTCCTGATTCCTTGACTAGAGTATAACCTCTGTGAGAGCAGCAAGCCTTTGTTTGGTTCCTGGCTGCACTCTCAGTATCTCAAACAGTAGGCTCTCCATTAATATGTTTGAATAATGTGTGGATGCAATATAAGTTGAGGACAAAAAAAGCTGAGGAAACATTTTCTTTACAAAAATACGTTTTCTAAAGAAATTATTAATAAAACTGATTTTCCTACCAGCTTCCTTTATGTGTTTCAAATATGATTGCTCAAAACTCACTTCATATGAGTTTTCAGGAAATGGCATAGAATAAGGAATATGTAAGTTATGCAATGAGCAACTGACTATCTAGAGAAGGATAGAAGCTTACAGAACAAAAGAAAATAAAAAAGCATTGA